ATCATAGTCTTGCATTGTTCATCTCTTCCAAATGGTGGTGGTAACGGAGCAAAATGAGATTTTAAAGAGCGGCCATGCTTCTTACATTCATAATCACAATTGCGTTTTGTAGTGAGCACCAGTCCATCATGTTCTCCTCTATCTTCAACGCATTCAACACGGTGGAAAGAGTGCATGTTTTATCAGTGCTCTTTGTTTAGAACGATGGCTGTGTAAGTGTTATTGTTTTTTAGTAGATAGTGAAGGAATGCGGTCGCCGAGATATTTCCCAGGAGCCCAGATGTTTTTTTTTTCTCAATAACGATGTTTGCTGTGTGAGCGATGGAGAAGTGGCGCAGGAGGGCGGACAGTGGCTTTACCTGTGACGAGGCTCAACGCGCGCGCGCGCACACACACACGCGCAGCGCGGCGGAGCTGAGCAGAGCGACTGTCAGCCGAGTTCATAACTACACTCTTCTGGCTCCCCTCACATGGCTTTACACTGACTACTAGCAATACTTTAAAGCGTTTTTTGGATCGTTTGTGGCGAACGGAATTTGTGTAAGTAGACCACTTTGACACTACTCGTGTTCTCATTCTTCTTGTCGTGCACGTCTGTACATTAATGTATTTTGAAGCATCGCAAGTTCTTTAAGCCAGCTCAGTATGAGGACGTCTTTTTTATATAGCCTACTGTTGAGTGAATCCTACATCGTGTACGCAAAGCGAACAAGCAGAAATTTGTAAACGTTAATTTTCGCTCAGATGAAAGCTGTAGGTGTATGGCAAGCCGTCTTGACAGGCGATCCTTCAAAATATCGTTTTTTTTGTAACAAACTTTTGTAATCGCTAGAAAGCAAACAGTCTTCTGTTTCACTGACATCAAGATAAATTTGCCATTATGTCAGTCACAGTACAAAACGAATTCATTAACATTTGTTAGCATAAACTAACAAGGAAAACACTAATTTCTTATTCATGTTCATTATGACATTTAACAATACATAAACCAACAGTTCGTCACCTTAGAATTTTAAGGATTGAGGTAAAGATTTATTTTTATATTATCACATTCGTTTATTTACTGTCTCTATATTGTTCACCACGCCAATTTGAATATGGAATCAGAATTGGCATGTAAGTATGACTTCAAAACAACATCATATTGACTGTAAACATGGTTGTACTTTGATAGTCATTGGCTGCTAATATGATTTCTCAATTTAATATTTGCAAGAATATTTTTTTTTAATTATGTTGTTGAGGAGAATGTCTGAATATCCGAATATAAAACCAACTTTACCTCTATAATAGAAGGTTCTATCTGACATTTTTTGTCAAAATTGAGTTATTCACATATTCTTATTAAATGATAATATTTATTTACATTGTAATGTTTTTTTATAAGCTGTTGTTTACATTTTAGGAATTTTTATTTAAAAAACAAAAGCGGTTTATCTACAAAGTTGAACTCTAGCTTGGCTCTATAAGGTTCTTTCTGTGAGCCAATCAGCATTTTTAATGCACGCACGAGGACCAATCAGGATCAGCTTTCTTTGTCATTTTGCCAGACTGCTCTATTGACAGCGGGAAAGACCAAAAAGACAAAATCACACAATATCAGAGTCGACTAAATATTGCCGCACCACACAAAATTGAGAAGAAAGCTCAAACGGAAAAGGTGTTCTTTTTGACATTGATAAAATGATTAAATTTTACATTGTTAAAAAAGGAACAAATATAAAAACATGTATTATAATAAATTTGAAATATTTTTATTTGTGTTTATATGGCAAGTGAAGATATTGTAGTCAGAATTATTTTATGAATTTTTATTTATTTTTAAAAAATATTTTCCAAATGATGTTTACCAGAGCAAAGAAATTTTCACAGTATGTCTGATAATATTTTTTCTTCTGGAGAAAGTCTTATTTGTTCATTTCGGTTAGAAGAAAAGCAGTTTTTAATCTTTTAAACACCATCTTAAGGACAAAAGTATGGGCCTCTTTAAACTGTATTTGTTTTCGATAGTCTACAGAACAAACCATTGTTATACAATAATTTACCTAATTACCTTTACCTGCCTAACCTAATAAACCAAGTTTATTAGGTTATTAGTTGGTCCTGCAAACAACTATTCAAAAAAAGTAAACAATAAAAAAACACTAAGTAAACAACAATAATAATAATAATAATAATAATTATTATTATTATACATTCATTCATTTACACTCATTTTTTAGTCCCTTTATTAATCTGGGGTTGCCACAGCGGAATAAACCACTAACTTATCCGGCATATGTTTTACAAACGGGATGCCTTTCCAGCTGCAACCCATCTATGGGAAACATCCATACACACTCATTAACACTCATACACTATGGACAATGTAGTTTACCCAATTCACCTGTACCGCATGTCTTTGGACTGTGGGGGAAACTGGAGCACCCAGAGGAAACCCACGCAAACACAGGGAGAACTTGCAAACTCCACACAGAAACGCCAACTGACCCAGCCTAGGCTGGAACCAGCAACCTTCTTGCTGTGAGGCGACAGCACAACCTACTGCACCACTGCGTCACCCCATTATTATTATTATTATTATTATTATTATTATTATTATTATTATTATTATATAGGCCTTGGTCACATCAATCATGCAAACCAGGTTCTACTCGGAAATTATATAGTTATTTATTCGTTTTCCTACTTTAAACCAAAAATCGAGCCAAAATCTTGTTTTTTCCGATTTTTTTGTGAGGAAAAGAAAAACTGAAGTTTTCCTTTTTTTGTTTAAAACAAATATGGAATGGCCTACCCAAACAACAAAAAACAAAGCAAAACAAACAAACAAACAAACAAACAAACAAACAAACAAAAAACTAAACGTTTTCAGCTTTATAAATACAAAATACAAATCATAATTGAAAATATGTGTAAAACACTTGTAAAGAATGTGATTACTAAAAATTTAGTAAAATCAACACAATACTTTGTGCCTTATTTATGTTGATATTTCTTAGGTTTTACTAATAAAATTCTAACAATTTTACCAGTGATGTATATTGGATAACATGGAGCAGTTATGCTAATTGAAACTTACCTAAATATTTACTTCTAGTAAATCTAGAATGAATGTCTGCAACAGTTAAAATAGTTAAAACAATCATTATATTATGATAAATTCTGTCATTCAAAAAAAATCTCTTATTATTTGTGATATTTATTGTGATTATTGTGATGTTAACGTTATGATGGTAACTAATGTCAAAGTAATGAGTACTACAAGTTATGAATATGTACTACAGAAACATTGAAACAGGAACCAACATCATTCTGGAAAATATTCTATCAGGAAGTAAATATTTACAGTAGTAACCTAAAAATAGATGTTAGTAATTATAAGGAATACACGCGAGATTGGCTTGCCATACAATGTATACCATTTCCTTCCTGTCAAAGAGCAGTTCATTAGAAGTTAACCATTAAACAGTGTAAAAGGGCATTTGACAGATAGATCCTTCAGTCTATTTGATGTAAAAGCGTGTCAGAAATACTGTGGACACGTCTGCTTTTAATCCCATTAATGCACAGGGTATAAGTCACCTGACAGTCAGAATATACAGGGCAGTTTTTTTTCCTGGCACAAACACATATTACGCTGTACATCTATTTGTTTATTTATTTATCTTTACATATATTTATGTATTTAGCTCTTACATCTGTTTTAGGTAAATGTATGGAAAGAGCAAAGTGGTCAAAGATTTGGACCCCCTTCAGTTCACCTACAGGGGAGAGAGAGGCACAGACGATGCCTGGAATGAGTAACTTCGTGTGATTTTGCTGCTGAACATATCCAACAGACTACAAATGATGTTCGGGTTTTATTTATAGAATTTAGCTCAGCTTTAAATTCAATTGCGACAGATATTCTTCTGCAACGATTGCTTGATTTAGGAGTGAATCTTATTTGGTGGATTACAGATTTTCTTTTAATGTCGTCCTTAAAGAGTAGTTGTTAATGATATGGTGTCTAAAACAATGATTGTAAATACAGGAGTTCCACAAGGAAGCATTTTATCATCCTTTGCTTTTCTCTCTTTACACAAACGAACTCAAGATGCAGGATTTAGGTTTTAAGTCATTAAATGTGCAGATTTTATGGCACTTGTTGGCCGATTGACTAAAACAGGAGCAGAAGAAGATACCTAGTTACTATAAATTTGCTTCAAAATTGGTGTAGAAGTAGTTCAATCAATTTTAATAAAACCAAGGAGATGATAATTAGCAGAAATAAACTAGTTTTTAGTCAAGGGTTAAAACCTCTGGTCCTTGAGGGACATGAAATAGAGATGTTTTAGAAATATAGGAACGTTTATTGATAGTGTATTGACATTTGCTGCAAATGCAGAGTGCATTTTTAAAAAGGCAATGCAGAGATTATTTCTCATTTGGAGGTTACAAAAATTTGGAGTGAGTTCAGATATTGTGGAGATGATATACAAGAACTTGGTTGAAAGTGTTGTGAGTTAGATTTAGTTATATGCAAATTGATCTAATCGGTGATTAAAGCAAGCTTTTTTCAGCTTCGCCTTCTCTCTAAAGTCAAGCCCTTTCTGAGCAAGGCTGCTCTTGTGAAAGCCATCCATTCTTTTGATAGTTTGCATTTGGACGTCTGTAATGCTCTTTATGTTGGAGTTAACAAGTCATGTCTTCATCATTTGCAGCTCATGCAAAATGCTGCTGTTCGGATGTTAACTAACAGTCGGAAAAGTGAACATATTAAACCAATTCTCTACTCCGTCCACTGGCTTCGACGGTTTAGTTTAGAATTGATTTTAAACTTTTGATGTTCGTTTTTAATGCCGTCAATGGCCTTGCTCCTACGTATTTATGCCAAATTTTGCACATTCACAAACCCAGCCGTGCTTTGCGATCTGCTGACCAACTTCTGCTTGAAGTCTCTCGGTCAAGATGCTAGCAGTAGGGTGACCGCTCTTTTGCAGTGGCAGCTCCTAAACTCTGGAATACCCTTCCAACTGTGCTTCGTACAGTCACTGACCTGCCACTGACTCTGACAGGGCAGTTTTTTCCTGGCACAAACATTTTACTCTGTACATCTATTTGTTTATTTATTTATCTTTACATATATTTATGTATTGAGCTCTTACATCTGTTTTGGGTAAATGTATGGAAAGAGTAAAGTGGTCAAAGATTTGGACACCCTTCAGTTCACCTACAGGGGAGAGAGAGGCACAGACGATGCCTGGAATGAGTAACTTCGTGTGATTTTGCTGCTGAACATATCCAACAGACTACAAATGATGTTCGGGTTTTATTTATAGAATTTAGCTCAGCTTTTAATTCAATTGCGACAGATATTCTTCTGCAACGATTGCTTGATTTAGGAGTGAATCTTATTTGGTGGATTACAGATTTTCTTTTAAGTCATCCTTAAAGAGTAGTTGTTAATGATATGGTGTCTAAAACAATGATTGTAAATACAGGAGTTCCACAAGGAAGCATTTTATCATCCTTTATTTTTCTCTCTTTACACAAAC